TGGAGAATACCACCAGCTATAGAGGACTACAAATCCCAGCAATAATATAGAGCTGCAACAATTAGTCGATTAAAATCGACAATGGAAAACGTTGTCAATGTTTTTCATGGTCGATTTGTCGGCAAAAATTTAAATTTCCCGCTCGCCTCTCACGCCCGCCTGTTTGCAGCTCCATACACGAGTTACGCTGCGTACGCCACGCTCACCACACAGGCCAGACGCGCCCGCAGAGCTGCCGCCTCGACTTCCACGGGTTCAGAAACAGGTAAGGGGGACCTGTTTTAAAGTTTCCGGTTTAAAAAAAAAAAAGCGGCATACTGCAGAACACCAGCAGCTATAGATGAACACCAAATCCCATCAATAATACATTAAGCAGCCTGTATAATGTATTATTGCTGGGATTTGTAGTCCTCTGTAACTGCTGGTATTCTGCATTAGTGTATAGTGTGTGTGTGTACGTGCGTGTGTGTGCGCGCCCCGGGGGGGGGGGGGTGTGGGCTTTAAAATGCACCTTCGCCTGAGTTGGCAAAAATCCTTGCACCGGCCCTGCTTATATTAGTGTGGGATTAGTGTCCCACACCAAGGACTTCACCAAGGACACCAAGGACTTCAAGGTGCAGGACACCTTTTGCTGCAATGTGTTGTACTTAACCCTGTGGTTGCAAGTGGGTTGGTTACTACAGCAAAAGCACTTTATTGAGACTGTTTGGTGTGATTTAGGGGAGGAATGACCCCACCTTTGGAGGACCTTAAGAAATTTGGGTTTGGTCCCATTCACATGAAATTGGGGCAGCTTCTGTACACCCAACCTATGGCCTGTGTTAGGGTCCAACTTCTCCCTTTCATAGAGGTACGCGTTAGATCTGCCCCCTCCCCTCTGCTATTTGCCCTGGCAACTGAGTCACTTGCTGCTCTTTGTGACAATCTTGACAATATACAGTATCTCACAGAAGTGAGTACACCCATCACATTTTTGTAAATATTTCATTATATCATTTCATGTGACGACACTGAAGAAATGACACTTTGCTACATTGTAAAGTAGTGAGTGTACAGCTTGTATATCAGTGTACATTTGCTGTCCCCTCAAAATAACTCAATACACAGCCATTAATGTCTAAACCGCTGGCAACAAAAGTGAGTACATCCCTACGTGAAAATGTCCAAATTGGGCCCAATTAGCCATTTTCCCTCCCCTGTGTCATGTGACTCGTTAGTGTTACAAGATCTCAGGTGTGAATGGGGAGCATGTGTGTTAAATTTGTTGTTTTTGCTCTCACTCTCTCATACTGGTCACTAGAAGTTCAACATGGCATCTCATGGCAAAGAACTCTCTGAGGATCTGAAAAAAAAGAATTGTTGATGTACATAAAGATGGCCTAGGCTATAAGATGATTGCCAAGACCCTGAAACTGAGCTACAGCACGGTGGCCAAGACCATGCAGCGGTTTAACAGGACAGCTTCCACTCAGAGCAGGCCTCGCCATGGTCAACCAAAGAAGTTGAGTGCACGTGCTCAGCGTCATATCCAGAGGTGGTCTTTGGGAAATAGACGTATGAGTGCTGCCAGCATTGCTGCAGAGGTTGAAGGGCTGGGCGGTCAGCCTGTCAGCGCTCAGACCATCGCCACACACTGCATCAAATTGGTCTGCATGGCTTTCGTCGCAGAAGGAAGCCTCTTCTAAAGATGATGCACAAGAAAGTATGCAAACAGTTTGCTGAAGACAAGCAGACTAAGGACATGGATTACTGGAACCATGTCCTGTGGTCTGATGAGACCAAGATAAACTTATTTGGTTCAGATGGTGTCAAGCATGTGTGGCGGCAACCAGGTGAGGAGTACAAAGGCAAGTGCGTCTTGCCGACAGTCAAGCATGGTGGTGGGAGTGTCATGGTCTGGGGCTGCATGAGTGGTGCCGGCACTGGGGAGCTACAGTTCATTGAGGGAACCATGAATGCCAACATATACTGTGACATACTGAAGCAGAGCATAATCCCCTCCCTGCGAAGACTGGGCCGCAGGGCAGTATTCCAACATGATAACGACCCCAAACACACCTCCAAGACGACCACTGCCTTGCTAAAGAAGCTGAGGGTAAAGGTGATGGACTGGCCAAGCATGTCTCCAGACCTAAACCCTATTGAGCATCTGTGGGGCATCCTGAAACGGAAGGTGGAGGAGCGCAAGGTCTCTAACATCCACCAGCACCGTGATGTCGTCATGGAGGAGTGGAAGAGGACTCCAGTGGTAACCTAGGAAGCTCTGGTGAACTCCATGCCCAAGGGGGTTAAGGCAGTGCTGGAAAATAACGGTGGCCACACAAAATATCACGCAGCTGGGCGGATCCCGTCATCTACGTCGGGATCCGCTCCGGCTGCGGCGTCTCAGTATACCGAGAGCTGTAGCTCGCGGTATACTGAGCTTAGGGTAACGGGAGGACGCAAGTTTGTGTCCCGTTAAGGAGAACTATGGGGAAAAACACTGACCCCATAGTTCTCCTTTAATTTGTTCAGTAAGGGAGTAAGGAACTGTCCCTGTTTGCATTTCTCAGCGGTTTAGACATTAAGGGAGAACTATGAGGTGAGTGCTTTTCACTCACCTCATAGTTCTAGACGACCTGTGACAATGAGACTGTCACAGGTCGGCTCAGTAGATCAGGAGGTGAGCGAACACATACTGGCGTTCGCTCACCTCTCGATCCTGTCACGGCTCTCTGCCGTGACAGGGGAGGGGCTGGATTGCCCTCTCCCCGTTCCGATCTGCCCGCGCTGACTGGAGGAACGGACAGGGGAGGGGGCGGGTACAGCTGGCTCTGCCTCTAGACAGGCAGAGCCAGCTAAGAGTCACGCAGCTGGGCGGATCCCGGCACAATTGTCGGGATCCGCTTCAGCTGCGGCGTCTCAGTATACCGACAGCAGCAGCTCGCGGGATACTGAGCCTAGGGGGACGGGAGGACGCTAGTTTGTGTCCTCCCGTTACCCTAAGGAGAACTATGGAGAAAAACCTTAACCCCATAGTTCTCCTTTAATGGAGTTAATAACTTTAATTGAGTTATTTTATTTTTTTTTAACAAAAAACAACAACCAAAAGAATACCCATAAGCAATACTCCAATTGTTGTGCTGCTCCCCTATACTTCTAATCTATTCTCCCTATCTACAGTATATGTTGTGCTCCTATTCTAATCCTATATCCTATTCTACGTATGTGTGTTGAGTTATTTTGAGGGGACAGCAAATGTACACTGACATACAAGCTGTACACTCACTACTTTACATTGTAGCAAAGTGTCATTTCTTCAGTGTCGTCACATGAAATGATATAATAAAATATTTACAAACATGTGAGGGGTGTACTCACTTCTGTGAGATATTGTAAAGCCTCTGTGAGCTACACACTTATATAATAGGAATTTAGTGATGCTTTATTTTCTAGGAATGAAAGCTTTGTCACATTGCACAGTGACATCACAAATATAAAATGAACGATGAGTAACTGACAACACAGATGCGGAAAAGCCTGATAGATGAGGTTGTTTATTCCTGACATCAGTCTGCAGGTACAAACACATCTCCACACAGCAGCTCTGTACAGGTAGGTGCTACAAGTCTTTCTATACATCCTCTTGCCTTATTTAATAATAATATATGTTTTTATGGATAAATTACATTAGTGTGCTGACATGGAATGTGCCAAATGTCTGTGGTTCTAAAGGACAGGTTACAACACCCAACAGGGTATTGTAAGCTGTGGAGAGTTTCATGGAGTTTTCATAATCTGTACTGTAATGTAGACGGAGCTGTCAGATCCAGGAAGTGAATTAATGTGGCGATGCTTGAGATCTTTAGCACTTTTCGGGATATTATTGTAGCTTAGGCTACATTATACAGGCAGTCTCTGGGTTACGAACAAGATAGGGACTGTATGTTTGTTCTTAAGTTGAATTTGTATGCAAGTTGTAACAGGTACATTTTTTAAGTGTCATTTTTGTTTTGGATAGCATAGGGAAGGGTTAACCCCCTGTAACGTTTATTTTGCGGTGTGTGCCCCTGTTCAGAAGATTTCACCTCACTTTCTGTCCCTGTGACAATTGGATTTTGAAAATGTTGGGTTGTCGTGGAAAAAAAGGATTGGTGATAAAGCTTCAGTGGAGACACCTTTTTCCCATGATAACTCATACAGGAGTGAATTTCCCTTCCTAGGAGTAGATTTCCTCTCACTCCCTGTTGTCTCAAAGACAGGAAGCGAGATTAAATCTTTAATAGGATACAGACAGGAGTAAAAACCTCACAGTGACCTGGAAGAAGAGGCGTGCACCCCTCGTCTGCACGTCTAACAAGAGCCAACTTCCTGTAATCTACGTACAGTACTACAAACCAGACCCAAAAAGGTGGGCACTCCTCCTCGGCATGAGCGCGGTAGCATTACAACTACTGGAACGCTGCGCGGTACACTTTGGCTGCAGCCTGCGACCCCCTGCTGTAGAGTAATAGCCTCCATTTGTAAGTAGGAGTCGGATGTAAGTCGGATGTTTAATTCGGGGACTGTCAGTAATAATCTGTGTTCATTACAGATATTAGTGTATGGCTTGGTACAAACAAGCAATAGCAACAGGTTATTTTAGATGCTGGTACTGTAAGAAAATATAATTAAAAATGTATCTATAAGCAGATATAGGGGTCTATTCACTAAGCTGCCGAAGGAACTAGCCGTAGCTTCGGCTGATCTTTCGGCTAGCTTCGGCCCCAGGACCCCTTCGGTTGCTGTACGGGCTATTCAGTATAGCCCGTACAGCTCCCAAAGTCGGCCGAGCGGCTCAGTCTAGCCGAAGGCATATGCCACGGCTCGAATGGACCCCCACAATGGTGAACCCGGCACTGCTCCTGTATATTCATGTGTGTGTAAACCCAAAATCTGTTTTTCGTTATGTTTGGCATCATGCCTCACTGTATATAGTTTTCTTAAGCAAATTTTTTGTAAAGCTGTTGAAAGTTTCTTACCCTGAGATCCTGCCACTAACAGCGCTTCCTGTTGCAGGCTGACAACGCTAAGCTGCTGCATCACAATTAGCATCAGCGCTGTCAGCATGCCACATGAATTCCTTCAGTTGGCTACCAGGCTGCCTATCTGATAGACCGTTGGCCATAGACAGCCTAATGGTCAATTCAAGAGCGTAGTTAGCAGGCTTACAGCACTGTTGCTAATTGTAAGGCAGTGGTATCGCATTGCCAACTTCAAACAGAATGTCTTGTTACTGGCAGGATCTCCAGGTAAAAAGCTTTGCAACAGACTGAAAAAGGGATGATAACAAACATACTGACCAATAGATCTTGCTATGCATAGTATCCATTTTTGGGTACTGTGCTTATTAAATTGGACTGTATATGCAGATTAAAGGCTTGTGTTTTACAGTGCACATATTGTCAGTTCAGGTAAACTTGCAGTTTTGAGAAAAAAGAAGCCATGGCTACGAGCAAAGCCCAAGCCTGTTATAAGGCTTGCAATTATCAGTCCAGGTATAGCTACCATTAGTTTATAGACTATCCATACACCTTAAGGCTTATTGAGCATGCAATTATCTTCATATATATATATATATACGTTTTTTTTGCTGCAGCAATTGAATATGAGTCCTGGGGCACTCTTCCTTGCTGACCTGACCCAGGAGGAACAAGGTAAAACAAACGTATTCTAAAATGCACTTCTATTAATGAGGAGTGAAGGTCTGTTCTGCACCCCTGCTCACTTTTTGTTCCTGTGACCAAAAAAATGTTTAAAGTGTGTGTTAGGGATGCACCGATACCGGTACCAGTATCGGTGCCAATACCGAGTATTTGGGCGAGTACTCATACTCGCCCAATTGCTCCGACACCTTTCCCAATACTGGAACTTCCGGTTAGAGGGAGATTTCCTCTGACCAGCAGTGCCGCGAGGAAACATGGAGGCGGGAAGCTGGCTCCATGCTGTTTGGCCGGCTCGATGCTGATTGGCCGGGAAGCTGGCTTCCTAGCCACTCAGTGTTGAGCCAGGGAAACAAATCTGATAATATGGCGACACGACCCCCACCCTGCAGGCACCTCATTCCCCTTACATAGATCCTTAGCAGCAGTCATTACCGTACCAGTCCCTCGATCAGCTGGGCAGACACCGCTCTCCGGGATCTGCCTACGTCTCCTGTGTGCATAGCGCCCGTGTGATCGGCCCTCAGCCTTCTACTGCGCATGCGCAGGATTTCTGAATGAACGCTGGGCAGTCTGCACATGAGCAGTAGCAGGCCTAGGGCCGATCACGTGGGTGCTGTACACATATGCACAATAATCATGTAAAATGTGATTTCTTACAGACATCTTTCACGATTCATTCACCAAAGACCTTGAGGACCTAAAGGCAAATGAAGCCATCAAGCCATTCTTCTGTGACCTCTTTGTGACAATCTGCAAAACGCCATCCCTCTCCATATTTACAGACAAGGAAGCCCAAAATGTAAGTTTTCACGTGTTATCTGTAAATAAAAGTGACATTAAAGAACTCCGGGTAAAAATGTTCTTAACCCTTGCAGTGCGGAGGTAGCCTCCCTGCAAGGGTTAAGTGCTCATTTTTGTCTAGGGTCAAAAATAACCAAGTTATACTCACCTGATCCTCCAAGCTGACCGGCGGTGACAGGCCTTCCTCCTGCCTGTCTTCTCCTCCGCTACGACGATGATATGTCCCTTGTCGTCCTCGCATCCTATACACTGCATATAGAATGTGACTCCCAGACCATAGACCGCTGCAGTAGCGGGGAAGAGAGGCTCCGGGGACCGGTGTAAGAGCACGCCGGCTTGGAGGATGAGTATAACTTTTTTTTTTTTGACCCTAGGGAAAAATGAGTACTCAGTCCTTGCAGTGTGGGAGTAGCCCCAGTGCAAGGGTTTTTTTTTTTTTTTTACCTGGAGTTCTGCTTTAAACATCTACTATAGCAAATGCATTACCTATAGAGCCTATGTTTGTTCTCTTATATCAAATCTCCAAGGCAAATGCACTTTAATGTAGATTGATGTTACATACTGTACATAGCTAGGCCAAGGCTAGACAGATTAATATGGAATTTGGGAGCCAGTCTGTACAATGTAGGAGCCACCTCCATTGGCAACAGCTAGAGAAAACTTTGAAAGTTAGGCACCAGCTTTCATTTTTAAGCAGCATTGGCGATGTGGCTCCTGGAATTTGTCCAGTCCTGCTGTAGAGGGAATTTGTCACCTATAAAAGAATAATTGGGCACACAACAATGCAATGATAAAAGTCATTGCATCTTTAAATGGCCAACTCTATTCAAATCTTTTTTTTGGTCTCTGTCAGAACTTTATGGCTGTCCTTCAGCGAAATATCCTGTCCCTGTGACACCAGTACTAGAAATGAGGAGGTAGGGGATGGCATAAAAACATTGTCGGAAGTGGGCATTTCCACTATAAAAAGGTCCATAAAATGTATTTTTGTTTTTGTCTTCGTTTCCACTGGAGAGATTTCCCAACACATCCTGTCCTGACAGGAAATGAAGTGAAGTCTCCCCCAATAGGGACACTGAGAGCAAAAAACAAAATGAATCTCTAACCCTTCCCTAGGCTCTCCAAATGAAAATAAACCATTTTGGCTGCAGTTGGGCTTTAATTCGGTCTTTTTGTTGTAGATTCTTCAGCTGAGTGATCCCCACAGCAAACGGGAGGCTGTGCTGAAGTATACAGATGAGAAAGGTCCAGCAGCATTGGTGGTGTTTTACTATTTACTGCACCTGAAAAATAAAACGGCCTACGAAAACCTTCCCAGCTGCAAAGATAATGGTATTCATTTTAGATTCAGTTACTGTATTTTATGTCCCAGATCAGGGGTAGATAAACTGTGGTGGAACTACAAATTCCATCATGTATCTGCATCTGGGAGTCCTGTCTGTGGCTGTCAGTCTTGCAATGCCTCATGGGATTTGTAGTTTGACCACAGCTGGAGGGCAGAGTTTGGCTACTCTCGCCTAGATAAACCTATCTACGTTATCTATGTACTGTGTAACTTTCCCAATTTAACATTGTGCTGAATGTATATGTATTGAAATGTATGTAACTGGAGGAAGTTACTCACTAAAGCTGACCATACACTAATCAACATGGACGGGGGGAGGCATCTCCCCCCTTCCTACTGGGCTGTTGTATTCTGATAGCGGTGAGTGTGCCACTGTCAGAATACCCAAACAGTGACTGCCACTGATTGGAAAATGGACTCTTGTCAAATGTACGGGTGCCGATGGGGCCACAGTGCTCGAATTCAAAACGGTATATGGCCAGCTTAACAGTACAGCAGAGTCCACCTATCATTTGACATATTATTTGTTTATGTGCTAACCCTTTAATTGCCCTCTCAGGGGACACAGAGGGGCAGAACATGCCTGTTGGTTTTAATATCCATTGCAAGATGTTCAGTAACCACCATAATTATATGCTAGGATACCCTGAGAGCAACAGAAATGTACAAAGCAGTATCCCTTAGCAGCCAATTAGAAATATTTCAATTGTTCTGACTACAGTGGGCTGACAGCTGATTGGCTGTTCAGGATTACTGCAATTTGTACATCCTTGTTGTTTTTTGCACTGCTCCGCTGAATCACCTCATGGTATATGTACATTTCTGACATCAACCCATTAGCAGGAATAACCATCTATATAGTATGTAAGGTTGAATAAAGACACAGGTCCATCTAGTTCAACCTATGTATATGTATGTATATGCTTGGCTCTAGTAGTTCCCATATCCCTGTATATTTAGGGACTCAAGAAACTCCTCTAAATGTTTCTTGAATGTATCAATGCTATGAGCAGATACTACTGACTGTGGAAGGGAATTCCACATTTTTACTACTCGTACAGTAAAAAACCACTTGCGAAGTCTGAGATTAAACCTCCTCTGTTCTAATCTCTTGCTGTGTCCTCATGTCATTAGTATAGTTCTTGGTGTAAAAATCATATTCCGAATATTGTCATCCCCAATAATGATTTCGTAAAATTGCAATTGGGTCCCCCCTCAAGCTCCTCTTTTCTAAGGAGAACAAATGTAATTTCTTGAGGCGATCCTTATAACTCAGGCCTTCTATCCCCTTTATTAATTTTGTAGCCCTTCCTGAACTCTCCCAAAGTCGAAAACCTCTTTCCTCAGAGTTGGCAGCCAAAACTGAACCGTATCTAGTAGTTGACATATTTATGAAAGGGATATCATTTTTTCATGACAGATCAGAAGATGGCCCTAATATCAAAGATAGAAAAATCTTTAACTGTCTTCGAAAAACAAATAGAAGAAATATCACAAAGCTTGTCAAAACCTCCTCCTCCAGGTAAGCGGGTTGACTGTCTATGTTTCTATATTTCATCCCTGTGCTTTGCCATGTGTCACAATGATACCATACAATACATACAACCATACTATGTTATATATTGGTACTTTCCTTCTTCTGTATAACCATGGCTCATTTCCACAGTCCTGTGTTTAGGACAGATATCATAAAAATATGAAAGTCTAGAACATTGTATTCAGCATTGTCAGTTTTATTTGATTTAACAGAGTAATTTTTGTATGGGATGCTTTACATACGTTTGTGTATTATAAATTAAAATGTTTGGTATTTGTTAAAGCGGACCTTCACTTAAATTGGCATCATTCTAATCCTCCCCCCTCCCTGTTACATACTTGCAGGTATTTTTTGAGTGGGATGGGGGAAGAGCAAGTTCCTTTTTTTTCTGCTGCGGTTCACTTCCTTATTCCTCACCTAGGTGAGCATGATGTAAACTTGGCTCGTCCACTCCACCGCAGCCTCGGGGATACACGTCACACATCCCTGTAGTCTTCAGGACGCTCATCCTACAATTTGCCAGCCGACACAGTGACGTATCATCAGCCAACTGTGATTTTGGAGACAACTGTCATTCTCTGATCACTCAGCTGGCTCCCAAATTTAAGATGGCAGTCTATCAGACCACACATGTTGTCATGTGCCAATAGGTGGAAAAGCTATGAAGTGGCTTTTCATTCAGAAATGAACTCATGGCTTATCTAGAACCTGCCCAATATCC